TTTATCACATTCCAAACCACATTTTCCTTGAATAAAATAAATCACTGATCTCAACCATACGCATTCCCTGCTTACTTCATGAATAGCTTTTATCTCAGTACGATTTGAAGAAGTAGCAACAATATATTGCTTTGTGGAACGCCATGATATGACAGTACCTCTATATGTAAACACGTACGCGATTTGAGATCGAGCTTTATGTGGATCAGATAAATAACATGCATCTGCATAACCAACAAGATCTACACTACCTTTGTTAGCATAAAATAAACCTATATCAAGAGTTCCCTTTAAATATCGCAATATATGCTTAATCTCGTTCCAATGTCTCCGTGTAGGAGAAAAGCTATATCTTGCGAGTAAATTAACAGAAAATGCTATGTCAGTCCTTGTAGCATTAGCAAGATACATAAGCACACCAATTGTACTAAAATAAGATATTTTAGGACCAAGGAGTTCCTCATCCTCTTCTGGAGGTCGGAATAAATCCTTGTTCACTTCAAGTGATCGAACAACTATTGATGTACTTAATGGGTGTATTTTGTCAGTGTAAAAGCGTTTTAAAACCCTTTCTGTGTAGGCAGATTGATGGATAAAGATCCCATCTGCTAAATGTTCAATTTGCAGATCAAGATAAAATTTTGTCTTTCCAAGATCTTTCATCTCAAGTTCTTTCTTAAGATATTGAATTACCTTTTGGAGCTCTTCTGGAGTTCCAACAAGATTTATGTCATCAACATAAATTGCAATTATAACAAACTCTTATGCCATTTTTTTAATAAAAAGATATGGACAAATAACATCATTTATGTAACCCTCTTTCAGAAAATATTCACTAAGGCGATTATACCACATGCGCCTAGATTATTTTAAACCGTACAAAGATCTTTGCAATCTGATTGAATACATTTCTTGAGATTCTGAATTTGCTTTAGGGATTTTCATATAAATTTCATTATCAAGTGACCGTACAGATAAGGTGTAACTACATTCATTAGATGTATTTCAAGCTTTTCATGTAGTGCTAAACTGATGAGATATCGAAATGTTATAGCATCCATAACAGGTGAATATGTTTCATCAAAATCGACCCCAACTAGTTTTATACCAGCAGACGTTTGGACTACTGGTCCAAAGACCTCTCTTTTAGCAAGTGCGTTCAATTCTGATTGAATTGCCTCTTGCCAATCAGATATTTATCGACATTCTTCGACAGATCGAGGTTCAAGATACTCACTATCTTGCATAATATTAAATGCAACATTATATGCCAAAATATTATCCACCACTATTTCAGATCGATTCGAATTAATCCCATCACCGGTAGAACTTATTAAAAGTTCCTCACTCACTTGAGCCTCGGGTTCATTGATTTCTTTAGGAATCTCAAAACTAATCAGATCTTGGGTCTCTTTAGGAGATCCCTTCATAGTATCGTTTTGATCATTTGTCGATTTTCTTTTTTGAGGATTTCGATCCGTAGAACCCAAAGGCCTACCACGCTTCAGGCGTGCTTTAGGTTCACTAGCTCTCATGCTAGTAGATGGTCCTACCGGGACATCAATTCTAATAGACACATTCTCTGCAATGATATGTGATTTAGTTATCCTTTTCAAATCAGTAAACGCGTCTAGCATTTGATTTGCTATATTTTGTAAATGGATGATCTTCTAGACCTCCCGATTACATATAGGGGCACGTGGATCAAAATAAGATAATGATGAAACTTTTCACACAATTTCTCTTTTGATTTCCTTTTCTATCCCCCTAATTGTGGGAAACTTGTTTCATCAAACCGATAATCTGCAAATCGAGCCGTTAATAAATCTCATGTCAATGGCTCAAGATAGCGAATAATAAGGAGTGATTCAAACCCAACATATATTCCTAACTTTCTTTATGGGTCCATCTTACTGCGCTGTGATGGTGCTACTGGTACATACATAACATATCAAAAAAATTATAGATGGGCAATATTTGGTTCATGACCGAAAATTAATTGTTAGCGGGGAAGATTTATTATAATGTATCGGTCTAAGACAGATAAATGATGTTGCATGCAAGATAGCAGGGCTCCAAACAGTAGTGGGCAATTTTGTTTTTATAAGTAGTGGTCTTGCTATCAATTGCAGGCGTTTAATAAATGACTCTGCAAGTCCATTTTGAGTATGAACATAAGCTGTAGGATGTTTAACTTTTATCCCAACTGATAGACAATAATCATCAAAAGCTTGAGATGAGAATTCTCAAGCATTATAAAGGCAAATAGCTTTTATAAGATAATCTGGGAATTGTGCCCTTAATCGAATTATTTGGGCTAATAGCTTTGCAAACGCTAGGTTGCGAGATAATAGTAGGCACGCATGAGACCATCTTGAAGATGCATTTATTAGGACCATAAAATATCTAAACAACCCACTTGGTAGGTGAATAGGTCCACGTATATCCCCATGTATTCGTTCTAAAAAGGTAGGGGATTCAATGCCAACATTCATTGGTGATGGTCTAGTGATCATTTTGCCTTGAAGGCAAGTCAAAGCGGAAAGAAAGCCTTAGTCGGAGCAGTAGCCAGAGAAGCAAGAGCAGCAAGGCATAACAAGCATCACAAGAAAATTCATTATTTGTAAGAATCTTCAGGTTCTTTAATGGATGCTCACTCGAATTTTCAGTAATTCGTCTCATCATTATTGATCCAGGATGGCCCAAACGGCCATGCCAAAGCACAAAAATATTTGAATCAGTAAACTTTTGGTTTACGATAGAGTGTATCCAATTGTACTAATCTTTGAATAGTATAAGCCAGAGGATAAAGTTGGTAACTTTTCTATAATGTACTTCTGGCCAGAAACATTCTTTGTAATACAAAGATATTCCATATTCATTTTATCTATCGTCTCAACATGATACCCATTTCGGCGAATATCTACAAAACCCAACAAGTTTCTTTGGGACTTGGAGGAGAATAATGCATTGTCTATAATAAGTTTTGTTCCCTTAGACAGAAATATAGTGGCTCTTTCGGAGCCTTCAATCAAACTTATATTTTCAGAAATTGTTGAAACAATTACTTTTCCTTATGTAAATAAGAAAAGTATTTCTGATCTTTGAATATGGCATGAGTTGTTCCACTATCAATTACACAAATATCTTGATGATTGGTCTTTGATCCAAACATAATTGAGGATTATTCATATTCTTCAAAATGACATAAACAAAATAAATATGATAGTAAACATCATTATCAAAGTACAACTTTTATTTATATACAACAATTACATAACCATACTATCTACTACAAACAACAAAAATAAAAATATTTACCTTTCTACAGATTCATCACCGATCACATGACTTGTTTCTCCTTCCGGGAGTGGAAGGTAATCAGCTACATCCAAATACATGAAGTCTAAATTATCTTCAAAAATAAGATTTGCTTCGGTTCTGTCTTCTTTAAGGAGGCTTGACAAAGCTCAATCAGGTGCTTTGGTATATGACAAGTACGTGACTAGTGCCTTTTTCCTCCACATCTATAGCATGCATTTTATGTATTTGTTGCTTGCACCGCTTCATGCTTATGTTCCTTACTTTTCCACTGTTGGTAGTGATGAGGGTTCTTTAGTGCATTATTATTACCAAGATTAGAGTTTCTTACCCGACCACGACCATGACCATGACTGGGGCCGCGACCTCTTCCACGCTTAGCTTGGTGGAAGTCCGTCTCATTCACTTTAGGGAATGGATAAGAACTAGTAGGTCGGCTTTCATGACTTTTCATTAATAGCCCATTATGTTGATCAGCTATAAGAAGATGTGAGATAAGTTCATAATATTTTTTGAATCCCATCTCTCGATATTGCTGCTGCAGGAGCATATTCGAGGCACGAAAAATGGTTAAAGTTTTCTCCAACATATCATGATCAGTAATATTATCACCACATATTGGGAAATAATTCTGAACATATCAGAATTATACTCACTAATAGATTTAAAATCTTCTAGCCTTATATGCTTCAAATCATAACGTGCTTGTGGAAGAACGACCATCTTCAGGTGGTCATATCTATCTTTCAAATTATTCCATAGTATGACTGGCTTTAACAGTGAGATATTCTATTTTCAAGCCTTCATCAAGGTGATGTCGTAGGAATATCATTGCTTTGACACAATCTTGGTTTGATGCTTGATTTTTTTCCTTGATGGTGTCCGCAAGACTCATCGCATCAAGATGAATTTCAACATCAAGCACCCAAGACATGTAGCTTTTGCCCGATATATTCAGGGCTGCAAATTCAAGTTTAGAAAGATTTAACATTATTTAGAAAAAGAAAGTTCGTACCTCTGATACTTTCAAAGTATTTGCTCGAGATGACAAAGTCTCGTACTGATAACGTGTTATAAAATAAAAACTGTAAATCAAAGACAAGTATAGAGAGAAACTAATATATTATTCAACTTCAAAGTGATGTACATTATAAACTGAAATCTACTCTATCTATAGAAAAAAGGAAGTTGCTAGTGTAAGCTACTACTATACCAGGTATGAATAATCTTCTATCGGGGGATGTTTATCCATAACAGAATACCGAAAGGATAAGCTTATTGTACCAGGTATAGATAATCTTCTACCGGTGGTAAAATTTATTTATAACGGAATACCGAAAAGATAAGCTTATTGTACTAGGTATAAATAATCTTCTACTAGGGGTAATGTTTATCCATACGGAATACCGAAAGGATAAACTTATTGTACCAAGTATAGATAATCTTCTACCGATGATAATATTTATCTATAATGAAGTAGGAGAAAGGATAAACTTCTTCACGAGGCTTATTTCCAATATATTACTAAATAGATAAATATCTTTATGGCGGAGTCCTATATAGATAATCTTCTTCAGAAGCTTATTTACAAACGAGTACTAAATCAACATCCATAATATAATAGTATATTTATAACATTTTTAATAATATTGATAGTATTTATAAAATTGTGTGTGCTAGGCAAACTAGTTGCAACGAAAAAGCGAAACAAAATACATCTAACATCTCGATTTCACCTTCGCGGCTTCGCTTAATCCGTTTGTCAGGTTCCGCTACGTCCTTTTCCTCCGGCCTCGCCGACTTGCCGGCGGGCCTTTTACCGGCTAAATCTTTCATATCTTCTCTTCATTTTTCTTCATCTCCAACGATCCGTCATTCCACTGGACATTCCGATCTGGCTATAATCGCATAGTTGACCTCAAATGGGACGGGCATCGTTCACCGCTGCTTTCACGATCGTCTCCTTTGTATTTATACTGATCAATTACGATGTCGTTTCGTGTTTGGGCTTTTCGATTAGTAGTCATCGGAATACCATGTTTCTCCCGCTCTTTCCTCCCAAAGATACTTCTTATCGTTCCTTGCCTTCCCGTCGACTCCTCCAGAAAAGCCCGCCGAATGCTCGAATGGCTCTCCACGACGATCTACTCCTCAATGGGTCAGTTGCTTAAATTCACTGCTCTAATATGATCTGTTTTCACTGGACGTATAATCTTTTTTCTCATAGAAAATGTCTTGGATTTGAAAATGTTTTACTTCGTAAAATCATCTTCTAGATCATTTTCAAGTGTTTGCTTGGACATAAAACTAGGTGTCGAATGGTACGGTAAAGTATTTGTATATTTGGATTTTTATGTCTTAATTGAAACGAGTGATATGGAGTAAGAGTTAGAGTTATTGGTAAAGAAAATAGGCTCCTTTACTTATATGGAATGCCAACACATTCCCTAAGAGGGGTTTTTACTTTTTATTCGTCTATTGATTGCAAATTACTTTGATGCAGATATTATACAACCCGTCTTTGGATTGGAACTCCTTCCCAGAGGTTTGCTCTTATAGTGGATACTGGGAGTACTGTTACATATGTGCCGTGCATAACGTGCAAACAATGCGGCAAGCATCAGGTGGGCACATTTTTGAATTTGTTTTCTTTTTTTACCTTTCAGGATATTAATGATATTAATACTTTTCAGTTGTATGTATTTTCCCACCGCTAGTAGCTCAATACGAAAATAAAAATTAATACAAGCTTTTTTATTCGTGTTGCTTCAGAAACTTGAAGATCTTGATGTGGTAGAAAAAGGAGTAAATTCATGAACTGTGTTAGTATAAGGTTCATCGGTTATTTTTATGAGGGAAAGAGATGTTGCTTTTCAGGATAGAACAAGCTTAATCTCATGTGAGTATTTGATGAACACTTATATCATTCCATAATGTGGACTATAGAAACTATAGAACATTTAAAACTCAGATATATTATGCTTTGCTTACATTAGAATAATAAAAATGCAGAAAGAAATAATATTAGCTTGGAACTTGCTATTTTGTTTCGGGGAAATGCTGGTCAATTAGCAAGGAATTGGGTTTGCATTTTTTTTTTTTTTTTTTTTTTTTTAAAAA